GCGGGTGGTTTGAGAGGGGTCTTGTGGAACGAGGTGTGCCGGGGACAATGCACAGGGATGCGAGAGCCATGGGGAAGTATGGGATCTTACTGTGAGAGCAGAGGGAGGCCCTGGAGCCGGGGGTGTGTGTGCACGTGTGAGTGGGGCGGAGAGGGGCACGGGGAAAGCTGAGGGGGTGCAGGAGTGAAGGTGTGACCGGGACAAGCTGAGGCTGGGAGGTGCTGCCCGGGAGGAGCGGGTGGGACTTTGTGCAGGAGTCTGTGGGGAGTGTGAGGGAGAGGGGTCAGAGCGCTGGCCCCGTCTTGGCTTCATCAGCTGTACCAGCTCGGAAGATGGCTCCGGTGCTTTGTTCCTCCTCGACCTGTGTCCGTAGACTGCAGCTGCTGGGCGGTCTTCTCCCTGGACGGGGGAGTTTTCTTTCTCAAACTCACTCTCTTCCCTCGACCCTTCCTCCCTCCTCTGTTGTCAGCGCCATGGCGGAACAGGATGTGGAAAATGAGCTTCTGGATTACGAGGAAGATGAAGAGCCCCAGGCTCCTCCAGAGAGCACTCCTGCTCCCCCCAAGAAAGACGTCAAGGGTTCCTACGTTTCCATCCATAGCTCTGGCTTCCGGGACTTTTTGCTGAAGCCGGAGCTTCTTAGGGCCATCGTGGACTGTGGCTTTGAGCATCCATCTGAGGGTATGCCTCCTGGGTTCTCCCTGCCAGGAACCTCCTCACCGCCCTCTCTGTGGCCTCCTCAGCCGCCTGGCCAGGAGCCTGCACAGAGGGAGCATCTGGTTTCTGGCCGCTCACACGTGCTCTCTCCCTTAGTCCAGCACGAGTGTATTCCCCAAGCCATCCTGGGCATGGATGTCCTGTGCCAGGCCAAGTCTGGGATGGGCAAGACGGCCGTCTTCGTGCTGGCCACCCTGCAGCAGATTGAGCCTGTCAACGGACAGGTAGGTGGTTGCCCTCCCTGCTGGGCCCGAGCTACGTGAGGATCGCTAGCCACAGGTTCCCTTGTTAAAAAACTTCCTGGTGCTGCGTTCTCTTTGTGGGCTTTTATTTTATTTTTTTTAATTTTCAAAAAAAATTTTTAATGTTTATTTTTGAGAGAGGGAGAGAGACAGGCAGGGTGCAAGCAGGGGAGGGGCAGAGAGGTAGGGAGACGCAGAATCCAAAGCAGGCTCCAGGCTCCAAGCTGTCAGCACAGACCCCGACACGGGGCTCGAACCCACAAACAGATCATGACCTGAGCCAAAGTCGGATACTTAAACGACTGAGCCATCCAGGTGCCCCTCTTTGTGGGCTTTTAAAATTAAGTACGGTACTTAGTTGTGACAAAATACTGCCCAAAAGTGATAAGCCAAGAGGAGAAACTGAGAAGTGCCCACGATTTTATTCTCCAGATTTTCACAGCTGTTACTTGGTTATGTGCTTTTCTAGAGTGTGTGTGTATTTACCCAGGTGAGATTGTACCTAACGTTGCCTCTTAAGTGAATTTTGTTGGAGGAGAATCAAGGTGCATTCCGGTGTTGTTTTGTCACACAGGGACACACGCCCTTGGGCTGCATATGGGTGCACAAGCCCTTGTCTCCTTAGGGTCGATGGAGAGGGAGATTCAGTGGGAGGCTGTGGTGGTTGCAGCCCTTGGCGTCATGGGCCTGAAGGCAGGAGCCGCCTTTGGGTGGTCAGGAGCTGACCAGAGAGCAGACTCAGGAAGCTGTTGGTAGGGGCTGCCTCACCAGCTAGGTCTCACTGTGGATCCTGGCAGCAGGAGACAAGCCTCACTCACTAGCTGGGGGGACATAGGGAGTGAATGACAGGCGAAGGGTGGGGAGAAGCTAGAGCATCTGGACCGGACCTTCCAGCAGCCGGAGGTTTGGGGAGCAGCGTGGCAGGCACCCTCCAGGGGCCAGAGCCCGGTGGGCATGGGGCCCCCAGGGAGGGCATTAGAGTGGGCTCTGGCTGGGGTAGGACTTGGGACACTGCCTAAAGTGTCTGTCTTCCGCCTGCAGGTGACAGTGCTGGTCATGTGTCATACTCGGGAGCTGGCATTCCAGATTAGCAAGGAATATGAACGCTTCTCCAAGTACATGCCCAGCGTCAAGGTAAGTCCCTCAGGCTGGACGTACTGCGTGGTCTTCTGCAGTGTTGCTGCCCCGGCTGTAGCCCGGCCAGTGTTTACTAAGCTTGGCCGCGGTGGCTGCCTTTGAGGTTTGCGGTGGTTTAAATTCCTTAAAAGCCGGTTGAATTATGCATGGCCTCCGGAGGCCTGTGCCGGTCCCAGCTGTGGGGCTGCTTTCCACCGGAGTCCTGGCCAGACTCTCAGGCCACTCTGGTCCCCAGGCACTAGGCCCGGGGGTGCTGCTGGAGCCTGAGCCGGGGCCACGGGCCGGGTGGCCGTCAGTTTGGAGCGAGTGTGAGCCTTCAGCCCTTAGACAGGTGAAGGGAACTTTCTCTCCTCCCACATAGGTGTCTGTGTTCTTCGGGGGCCTTTCCATCAAGAAGGATGAAGAGGTATTGAAGAAGAACTGTCCGCACGTCGTCGTGGGGACACCAGGCCGGATCCTGGCACTCGTGCGGAACAGGAGCCTCAACCTGAAGAATGTGAAGCACTTCGTGCTGGACGAGTGCGACAAGATGCTGGAGCAGCTGGGTGAGTGGCCTGCTTGGGTCTAGGAGCTGCTGGAGGCCCACCCCGCCACGCCCCCACCCCGCCATCCTTACAGCTCCCCTCCCCCCACCCAGACCTCAGAGCCAGGTGGGCCCTGTCAGGGCAGGCCGAAGGTTGCCCCAGGGCAGGGTCACGTGGGTGGCTGGCACACAGGCCTCTGTAGACGACTCCAGGGAGAGTTGTAGCCTCGGCACAGTGACCTGCCTCCGAGCCCGAGCTGAGTGAGTCCGGGCGTGTGTCCGTGCCAGCCCTCGGCATGCTGTGGCCTCGCCGCCCGTTGGGTTAGTTCCGGGCCCCGGCCTGCCCTCCGTGAGCCCCGCAGGGCCAGTGGGAGATGGGGCTTGTGTCCCGGGAGGCAGCTGCAGCTCTCACCCCAGCGGCTGTCTCTGCCTCAGGCTCCCCTCCCTGAAGCGTGGCTCGAGGCGCGCTGGCACGGCTGCTCCGCTCTGGCGGCGTGTAAGTGGATGGCAGCTCCTCCCGCGCCCGCCCCGAGTCCAGCCCCTCAGGCACCTGGGACTCGCCCCTCCCGCCACTCGGCTCACGCCGCCCTCGTCGTGGCGCTAACGACTCCCTGGCACAGGTTGGGAGGAGCTGGGGCTGGTCTCGGGTGGGGGTCGCCGCGCGGCAGGCGCTCACGCCCACCCGTTTCTTGCCCTCCCCACCCAGACATGCGGCGGGACGTGCAGGAGATCTTCCGCCTGACGCCCCACGAGAAGCAGTGCATGATGTTCAGTGCCACCCTGAGCAAGGAGATCAGGCCCGTGTGCAGGAAGTTCATGCAAGACGTGAGTAGGGTGGGACGGCAGCCAGCCACGGCCTCGGCGCGGCACCTCTGGCCCTCCTCGGTTCCGTGTCCTGAGCCGCTGCTGCTCCGGGACGCCCACACTTGCCTCACCGCACAAGAATGCCGGGAGGCCCCGGAGCCTTCCTTCCCTCCTGTGTCTTGTCAGACTAGGAGCTGAGCTTGGTCTATACCTGAGTCAGAGCCGAGCTTAGATCAACGATTGGGAGAGAGGCATTTATCGGGGTATGCAGGCCCTCTGGGAAGCATCGCAACGTGGAGTCCTTCGCCGGAAGGTTCTGGGCAGGCAAGATGCCCAGAAGTAAGCCCCGCCTGCCCCTTCCTGCACAGCCCATGGAGGTGTTTGTAGACGATGAGACCAAGCTCACGCTACACGGACTCCAGCAGTACTACGTCAAGCTCAAGGACAGCGAGAAGAACCGCAAGCTGTTTGATCTCTTGGACGTGCTGGAGTTTAACCAGGTGACACCGCGTGGCTGTCCTGGGGTTCCGGGCCTTGGCGAGGCCGGCGCACGGGGGCTCTGGCCCTGACCGCCGCTTCTTGCCTCCCTGCCTCGCAGGTGGTGATCTTCGTGAAGTCGGTGCAGCGCTGCATGGCCCTGGCCCAGCTCCTTGTGGAGCAGAACTTCCCGGCCATCGCTATCCACAGGGGCATGGCGCAGGAGGAGCGGTGAGTGGGTGCCGCCCTCGGGCCCGCAGCAGGCCCCTCAGCCCCTCACAGGGAGTGCCGCTCGGGAACCCCATGTCTAATGGCCGCCTCTTGTTCTTCCTGTGCCCAGCCTGTCACGCTATCAGCAGTTCAAAGACTTCCAGCGGCGGATCCTGGTGGCCACCAATCTGTTTGGTCGAGGGATGGACATTGAGCGAGTCAACATCGTCTTCAACTATGACATGCCCGAGGACTCGGACACCTACCTCCACCGAGTGAGTGCCTCCACGGAGCTGTTACCTCCCTCACGGCCCTCTCTCAGGGTGGGGGTGAGTGGGGATGTGGCCCTGCTTGTCCTCAGATCCCCATGTTGTGTCCCTGTGACCTGACCCCCCTGACCCCCTGCTCCTGTCACCCTGCAGGTGGCCCGTGCAGGACGTTTTGGGACCAAAGGTCTGGCCATCACTTTTGTGTCCGATGAGAATGATGCCAAAATCCTCAATGACGTTCAGGACAGGTTTGAAGTGAACGTAGCAGAACTTCCTGAAGAAATTGATATCTCTACATACAGTAAGTGTTGGGGGTGGGGGGGGGGGGGCTGGGCCCGGACAGGGACCCTCTTCCCCGTCTCACTGGCCTCCCCTCTGTGTGTCTTACAGTTGAGCAGAGCCGGTAACCACACGCCTGGTGGCCAGAGTCGCCCTGTTTCCTGAGTGCTGCTTCAAGTCCTCTTTCTAGGCACCAGTGGGGCCTCCCTTTTTACTGTTTAAAAGCTGTAGATTTGTGTAAGAGTAAAGTTTTATTACGGAAGTCTGTCTTCCACCCTGTGTGTTGCTCGGCTCTCAGCTTTTCGTGGATGTAGCAGGCCTGGCCAGGGAGCTCCACAGCAATTTTCTGTATCAGTAGGACATTTAATTTTATGTGTCGATGTTGAAAAGTTTATACAGATTAAAAACAACAACATACAACATTCACAACTTTCCAAACAAGTGAGAGCCTTCTGCCTCCAGGAGCAGATGGGCTTCTGTACCGTGAGCCTCAGGCAGTGGGGCTGGGAGGGGCCCTGCTTTTCCCCCACCCTTGGCCTCAGTCGTAGCTTAACGGGGAGCTAGAGCCCCAGCACCCTGGCCTCTCGTTCTGTAGCAAAAACAGACGAGGGGAAAGGGCCTGGCTGGGCACAGCGTCCTCAGTCTGACAGGCCTGGGGTAGCCGGGAAAGGCACTGCGGCCCTGGGCCAGACTCCTGCCCTCACCCTGGGTCCTGGCTGGGGTGGGGCAGGGAGGCAGCCAGCAGAAGCAGGCCCGGTGGGTCCAACTCTCCACTGGGCTGGGTGTTCTGGGCTTCCTGGGCTTTGGTGCCAGACTACAGCTGCTGCCCCCTGCTTTCTGTGGTGCACATGTGGGCCGAGGCAGGCTGACGGAGGGAGCAGAGGGGCGAGAGAGGAGGGGACCGTCTTTCAACACGTGCAAAAGCTGCTGAGGCCACAGGACCTCCTGGTCTGGTGGGAGCCGCGCTGTCACATGCCGGACTCCGAAGGCCTGTGGGCCTGGTAAGAAAGGTACACTGTGAGCACAGAACCTGGGCTGGGTGCCCTCTGGCCCAGCACCCCTACCCCAGGCTCAGCCCTTACCTGAGTCTGGTTGGATGAGGAGGTGGTGAACTCCGAGTACCTGTTCCCGGTGACCCAGCCGGCCCACTTCCGGTACTCCTCCCTCACCTGTGGGGCCCAGGGAGCCAGGTTAGGGAAGGGGCAGGCCCCAGGCCGGGCCCCAGGCCCCAGCCCACCCCCCACAGCCCGGCCACAGCCCACCTTCTTGTTGAGCAGGCAGTGGAGGATGAAGAGGAAGAAGCCTTGCAGGCAGTTGAGGACGGTGAAGGTGTAGGACAGCACCCAGCTGTGTGGGTTAAAGAGGAACAGGCCGAAGACCCAGGTGCTGCCCAGCAGAAAGAGCTGAGCGACAGCTGTGATGGTCAGCACCCTGCAGAGAGGACAGCGTTGCAGTGGGGGAGGCCCCCCTCGAGCACCCTCTGCCCCCTGCCAGCCCCTTCCCTGCCCTCCACTCTCACCTGGCCTTCTTAAGTTTCTTCATGTCTGGGTTGATCTCAGAAAACTTCTGCGTGAGTTTCCAGACAGTAGTCACGAAGATGACAGCATTGAACTGGGTTGGGGGGCAGGTAGAACTGGCATTAGGGGGAATCCCTGGGACTGTGGGGGCGGGGGGGGGGGGGGGGGGAGAGCTGGCCCAGTGTGGCTGCGCTCCTCAGGTGTGGGGTGGGGGCAGCTACCAGAACGATGAAGATCACAGGTCCCAGGAAGCTCCAGAGGAAGCCATCTTTTGGGTCCAACCAGCAACTGGGTGGAAAGGGAGGGTCATGTCAGCTCCCCAGAGGGGAAGGACACTGGCCAGGACCGTGGTCCCCTGCCCTCCCATCGGACCGCTCCGCTGCACTCACTAGAGGGAGCGGCCGTAGCGCTCGTGTCTGACGGCCGCCGAGATGGCCACGATGAGCAGGGGCACCCCATAGCCGATCAGGTAGAGCCAGCACTTGTTCAGGCCCTGGCCGTGGAACACGCGCACCACCAGGAAGTAGAGCTCCAGTCCCTCGAGGCTCATCCAGCAGAAAGCGGCCAGGAAGCAGTAGTGCAACAGTCCGGCCACCAGGCGGCAGCGCAGCCCCACCTGCGGGGCGGGGGCGGGGCGACGTCAGTACGGGGCGGAGCCGCGCCCCGCCAGGGCCCTCGGGGCGGGCGGGGACGAACGGCCACAGCTCTGTTGTGCCGAGGACCTCGCGCGGGCGGAGCGGGCGGTGGCCACCCAGCCCCGGGACTGGACGGGGCTCTCCCCCTCCCGGGCCCCGCCGGCCTGGGGTTCTGGTGGAGGTGAGACGTTCCCACCGCCCCGGACCTCACCTGGCCGCCTTCGTTCTCGATGCCCGCCAGGAAGATGGCGGAGCCCACGAAGAGGCAGATGCAGAGATGCAGGTGCACGGTGGTGCGCGAGCCCTGGATGGGCCGCACCAGCAGGAAGGTGAGAATGCATAGCAGCAGGCAGACTAGCGACAGCGCTAGCCCCACCTTGGTGATCAGGGCCAGCCTCGGGTCCTAGATGCAGGATGGGGTGCGTGGGGCTCGGTCAGCGCCCTGAGCCTTTCCTGCCCTCCTTGCGGGCCCCACCACCCGGACCCATCAGGGGCCTGCCCTCCAGGTCTCTGGAGATCATGCACTCGCCTCCCCCCACATCCCCTGCCTTCAACGCTTGAACAGGCTTGCTTTGTGTCTCTTCCTAAACACCCACCACCGCTCGCAATGCACGCCCACAACCACGGATGCACCAGGGATCTCAGTTCCTCCTGATGGGCCTCCCCGCGCTAAGCCTCAAGGCCACATTCTTGTTTCTAACACTAATGGTCCCACCTCTCTGACCCTCCTCGCTCATCTCAAGTTCTACGCCTCCTACACGTGGCCACCTCTATCAACTCGTTGAAACCCGCCTTTTTGTCCTTCCTGGGCTTTTGGCTTGGACCAGAGCCTTCCATACTCTGCCTGGCCCATTTCAATTAAATGCGTGGCCCAGCTTCTCTGTGTATCTCTGAAGCCACGTATAGAGCGTTGTACTCCCTTTGGAGCTTTTAACGATTATTTAACCACCGGTTCCAGATGGACAGTCAGAGGGGCGCTAGCCAGAGCAGTTGCTGGGTCCCAGGGAAGGGGCTGGGGGGCATGGGGTGGGACCACTGGGGCTGTGTGACCGTACAGAACCAGCTGTCTGTCTCACCTAAGCCAGGCTTGCCACCTGTGGGCTTTTGAGGGCTGCTCACCTCTATGTCATAGTGGGCCATGAGGACGGCAAAGCTGCTCAGGTGGCTGCACTGGCACGTGGTGCTGTCATTACTGGTGCCCCGGGTCCAGCAGCCCGTGGTGTTCCAGTGCCCTCCGCCCCTGTCGTCACTCTTCCAGAATGCACACACCAGCCCCTGCCGCGGTCCGGGCGTCTCCATCTGCAGGCAGGCGGGAATCGTTGGAGAGGTTAGCCTGGAGCCCACTCTTGGGTCCTGGGCTTGGTTGAGCCCGAGGAGGGCTGTTTTTCATTTGACAGGTATTTACTGAGCGCCTCCTTTGCTGTGTCCCCTGGTCTCGCACACAATGAACAGGGCTGACACAAGTCCCTGCCCTTTTGGGCTCGGCATGCCAGTGGGGGAGACCGATGTAAATAATGAACCCGATAAGGAAACTAGATGGTGTGTTAGAAGATAGTAAGAGCTTTTAAAAAGAGAAACAGCATAGGGGAAGGTGGGGCATGATTACAGACTGTCATTTTAAATGAGGTCAAGGAAGACCTAAAAGAAGAGGTGACATCTGAACCAAGACTGGAACCAGGTAAAGGACTGAGTCACCTGGGAGACGGTGTGTCTCACACAGAGGGCACAGCAGATGCAAAGGCCCTGAGGTCCGTTTGAGGAAGAAGCAGAGTAGGGAAGGAGTGAGCAGTAGGACTGATCCCCCCCCACCAGAGGACTCACAGGGTGGGAGAAGGCGAAGGTGACCGGGGAGTCCAGGTGCTCGGTGTTTGTGTTGCTCAGAAAGACCAAGTTGACGGCTGAGAGGAGCTTGTACTGGGCGCCACGGACAGGACCTTGGTGGAGATCTTTTAGCTTAGCTTTCGTCTCGGGGTCCAACTCCAAGGAGGCGTTGGCCAGCAATTCCTGCATTTTCCAGCTGGAGAGGATGCCCATCACGGTGGGGCCTGGGGGGTAGACAGGCCGGCCACTACCTTCTGCCCTTCCTCCTCCCACGCCTCATCCTCCCTCCCAGGATGTCTATTCAGGCCCTCCAGGATGCCATGATGCCTGGGATCCCGGGCAATAGGTCAGTTTCCAGGTGTTGCATATTTAGAACCTCAACCCTTGCCACATCCCAGCTCCTCCTCCCCTTTCCCACGGGAGTCCCCTCCGGATCCCCGCCGTTACCTGAGTCCCTGGCTGCGGTTGCCACAGCCCAGTCCAGCAGCATCCGTGCATGGCTCTGGCCTATGGTGGTGTATCCGTCCCCTTGCTCCTGGATCATCAGGGACAGCTCTGAGAAGAGAGGGGCAGTGATCGGGGGCTCTGGGTGCCGGAGGAGGCCCCGGGCAGGGCGAGGTCTCACCTGTGTTCAAAGGGGAACGGTAGGTGAAGGAGGCTCCAGGCATGGCCTTGGCCAAGGTCCTCAGGACTCTTTCAAGCTCAGAGAGGAGGTGGGTGGCCATCTTGTGCCTTTCAGGCAGGGCCAAGGCGTCCAGGTCACTGGGGACTTCCAGCAGCTCATCCACTGACGTGATGAGGTTCTGGGGGGATGGGTGACAGCTGGTGGGTCACTGCCCCGCAAGGGCTGCCTGACTTCAACCCGCCTCTACCTAGGGGCACACTGCAGAACCACCTGGGGTTGCCTGGGGGACAGGCACGGGCTTCCTCCCAGGCTCTACACCTGCACTGACCAGCAGAATTGCCACAAGCCACACATGGCTATCCAGCACTCGAAATCTGGGTCCACAGTGAAATGGGAATAATTTTGAATCTGCTGGGTTAAATGCGATCTCCACATCAATTTCACTTGTTTACTTTTGTTTATTTTAATGTAGCTACTGGAAATTTTTATTTTTGTTTGCTTTTTTAATTAAAATTTTTTTTTGATATATATATTTAATTTTATTTTTTAAATTTACATCCAATTTAGTTAGCATGTATAATTTAAAAAAATTTTATAGCCATCTCTACACCCAGCATGGGGCTTGAACTCACAACCCCAAGACCAGGAGTGGCACGCCCTTCCGACTGAGCCAGTCAGGCGCCCCACTACTGGAAAATTTAAAATGACATGGGCTCACATATTTCTCCCCAGCTTAGCACATAGGCTAAACCTTAACACATCATGCTCACCGTGTGCCAGGCACCATTCTTTCTTTGAGCTTTGCTTCTTTTAGTTCACAGAAACCTTCAAACCCAACTGTGTAAAGCAGGCACTATTTTCAGACGAGGAGAATGAGGCCCAGAGAGGGGGACTCACTCGTCTGACGTCACACAGCAGAAAGTGGCAATCGGTGGGGCAGGGTGGGTGGGATGGGGGGGATTTGAGCCCTTGTGGCCTAACTAGGGAGGCGAAATTCTTGACGGCTGCATTCTGTGCCTCTCCAGTGTGCGTGTGTGCGTTTTAAGGGGTGTATGTATGTTTGTGTTTGTGCTCATGTAACCCCTGCTTGGGCTGTCTCCACTCACACGGAAGCATCCCTCTGCCACCCCATGCTGTCCACGGGTCCCCCGCCCCCAGCGCCTGCTCTTACCTGGATGGTGTCCTGAGCCAAGGCCGGCTTGAAGTCTCTGCGCAGAACTTGGACTTTTTTAAAGAAGTTGGAGAGTCTCTGGGAAGAGAGGAGAAGGGGCGGGTCAGAGAGCCTCGCGTATGCGTGTTGGGGTGGGGGTGGGGAGCTTGGGGAAATTGGGGGAATGAGGCGGGCAGCGCAGAGGGATTCCTGCCTCCTGGCCCCTGCTGGGGCCACCCACCTGGCTCTTGATTCCAGGGGGTTCGGTCCAGGCAGGGAAGGACATCTCTGCAGGCGATAGAACAGCCATTTATTAGGTGTGAGAGTGTCTGTGCGTGTGTTGGGATGGCGGCTGGGGTCAGGTCAGACCAGGTACCTTGACAGGTGGTGTTCGTTTGCTTATCCTGGAATCCGGGTTTGAGCTCCCAGCCACGGCGGCAGCGGCACCTGTATGAGCCCACGGTGTTGACGCAGACTGTGGAGTTGTGGCACACAGGCGGCCGGGAGCTGCACTCGTCCACATCTGGGGACACAAAGACGGGACTCGGGCCCTTCTCCTTCTGTGTCCCGCCCCCTTTCCCCATATTAGTACCTCCCACCTTGGCTGGAGGTGACGTCCCCTGCCGACCCCACATCCTGGTGATGCAGGAGTTCTGGGAAGTGTGGGGAGGCCTGACACATAGCACGTGAGCCCTGTACAGATGTGCAGGTTGTGAACTATTGAAACACCTTTGTCCCAGTTGGTAATTAGCTGCCGCCTGGGGTCTCCAAGGAGCCTGCTCCTCAGTACCCCGGCTCCTTCCCCAGGATCCCCGCCCCCCCCCCAGATCTTTTCCCATCGAGCCTCAAGAGAATTAATGCTTGGCACAGCAGGGCACCGCCAGCATTCATTCTGCTTGGGTGGTGTGGGTGCCACTGAATACGCATGCAATCAGCTGTTCTGAGTGTGGTCTCCAGGATGTGGCATCTGAGCTCTGGACCTTCACAGACGGTGTTGTTTGGGCCATTGGGGGACCCAGGAATGGGCTTCCAGCCAGGGCGGCAGCGGCACTCATAGCTCCCAATGTTGTTGAGGCAGTGGGTGGTGTTGTGGCACGGGTTTTGCCCCGAGGTACATTCATTCACATCTGAGGACAAAGCCAGAGGGTCAGGGTCCCCTCCGCTGGCTGCACCCACCTCTCACTGCCCGGCATCAGGGACCCTGCTGTTATTGCACGTGCTGCCCCCTGGTGACCTTCAACCTCAATCTCAGTGCACCTTATGATGGCCTCCCTGCAAGATGGGCGTGGCAGGGACCATGGTCCCCAGTTTACAGGCTGTGAAACCAGGGGGGAAACTGAGTCATGGGGACCGGACTTTCTTTCCAAGGACTCTCAGCTACTCCCTCCCCAGCTCTGGCCCAGGCCCCCTTTTCAGGAGCTGGAAGCGACACCCTCCCCCTGCTCCCAAGAGGCAGGTGAGGAAGGGGCGAGACCAGGGGATGCTCACAGAGGCGGGGGGCTCCACAAGGGAACCCCAGGCCCGGAAGGCCCTGCTACCTCCCCGCTCTGTGGTGGGCCTTCTGGGGAGGCAGATGATTGGGCCTGCTCCGTGGGCTGCGGGGTCCGCCTTGGCCCCGCCCCAGCTCCGGCGGAGCCTCACAGCCTCACAGCGTCTTCCGGGGCCTCTACCTGAGCACACGTTTGGGTCGCTCAGGTTGAGCTCCAAGCCGGGTGGGCACCTGCAGGTGTAGTTGCCCTGGGTGTTGATGCAGATGCTGCGGCCTTTACAGAGTCTGGGTTTCCGCTGACATCTGTCTACGTCTGCAGGGGGAAGGAGAGGGCGTTGGAGGCCTGCCTGCAGCTGTTTCCTGGGATAGAAGCATCTGGAAGGCCCCGCCGTCTCCTCCTCAGCGAGCGGGGGTGCCTTTTCTAATTCACATGGAGGCGTCCTAGGGGCGAAGCATGGTGGCCCAGATGTTCGGTTGTCCAGATGTGGCAGGAAGCAGCCTGAGTCCTCCCGTCTGCCTCTCTGGGTGGCTCCCAGCTGGGACAGGGACGCATGACCACCCGTGTCCCAGCCTGAGGACTTGGACAAGTCCAGGGTGGGCCTTCCTGGGAGCCGAGTGCCAGGGAAATGCTGCACACCAGACCAGGACCTGTCAGGGCTCCCAGCCATGGCCTTTACCCTGACTCCGCCAGGGTGGCCGCTTGCTGGCTCAATTCCCCTTGGAATCCCGGTCACCCTCAGGGGCCAGACGGCACGCTCCCATCCACGCTAACTCTGAGACTCCCGCGCCACGGAGATGAACAGGTCCCACACCCAAGCCAGGCCTGTAAAAGACGAGGCTTTGGGGCAGGGGCAGGGAGAGGAAGGATGGACGGTGGGCGCCAGGCTGGGGTGGACGGTGTTGCTGATGTCCAGTCGGGCGGCCTTGGGGCAGTGAAGATGCCTTTTTCCCATGAGGGCATTCCCTAGACTGGCAGGAAGCGGTGAGGATCCACGTCTGAGGGAGGCCAGCAGCGGGCGAGGACTGGAGCAGGGAGCAGGTGCTGGTGGGCGAGGCATGGCAGATGATTGTGTCTTCTCGGCCCTTGGGCTCCCCCCAGGGGGGCAGACACTGGGCCCAGCCGAATGGGGCTCAGCCTCTATCTTCTGTCCCTCAGGAGAGGGCTGGGCCTGGGGCAATGGTCCTGGATGACAGTCTCCCTTGTCATCTGGTCCAGAGGGGGAGCCTCTTGGTTCACCTGACTCTCCAAGTGTGCAAATGGTGGCGGGTGGGGGAGGGTTGCTGTCACCTGGCCCACCCCAGACACAACATCCTCCGGGTCCTGGTCAGCCGGGCTGCCCTCAGGCCCCTGAACCAAAGTGACTGGGGAGGGTGGGGACGGAGCCTTATGCGGGGAAATAGAGGAAGGCCCAGTGGTTGAGAAGGGGTGGGAGTGGTGGGGGCATCAGGAGGGGCCTTCTCCAGGCAGGATGCTGGCTAGGGCAGGGCTGGCCAGGGGCTGCGGGCCTGCCCTCAAATCTCCATCCTCCCGCCTTTTCGGATGGGGTCCCTGGGTCCATCATGGCCAAGGGTCTGAGAGGGCTGCTGATATGGCCAAGCCCGTGAGGGCTCTGGTGGGGGCGGGTCTTGGCCGGGCAGTTCCTGATGGTGGCCAAGAGGACGAATCTTGCCCTGGAACGCACCTCCTGTGAAGTATCTCGAATGCCGCCTGCCTCTTGTTTTATGCAAATAAGGTGCCAGGGAGGCAGGGGGTACGTTCCAAACATCCAGAGGTGGCCCTCTGGGGAGGGGCCTGAGCCGGGGGGTTCAGAGAGGTGCGGGTCGCCAGGTAGGTGACAAGGACATCCTTTGATGCCTGGGGAGGGCGGGGCAAGGGGCCCGCAGAGCAGCCTGGGTCTCCCCTGCCTGTGGCCAGACGCACTGCCACGACATGGGTGATGCGTCCTCGGCTGCGACAGAGGCTGAGCCCTTCACAGAGCTGGGTCTTCAGGTGGCACGTCCTGGGCCAAACCAGCAGAGACTATCCCTTCCCTGTCACCCAGCTTGAGGTCCGTGGCGGTCCCTCTCCCGTCTCTTGTTATGTGTCTACCCAGCCGCCTGACAGAGTCCCCGTCTCTCAGCCCTGGCCTGTTGTAACACAGCAATGCAGCCCCTCGATAACCACAGGCACCACAACAGTGGGTGGGTGGCATTGCCTGTCCAGGCACACTGGGTGGCATTCATGATCGCCATGTGCAGTTGTGCAGGTTGCTCGGTGCACACAGGCATCTGGCCCGGGAGGCAAGTGGGAGTTGAAACCCGGCCCGCTCTCCATTCCCCAAACGTGCTATATTCACCTGGAAATGAGGGGCTTTTTCCATTTCCATTTCCATTTCACGCTCTGTCCTCTGGCGAGGCCACATGTCTGGGCCGCAAGATTGACCCACAGGGGCCCCTCGGGACCAGCATTGCCGGGCTCCACGGAAGTGCAGGTGCCCCCTTCCCTCCCACCAGGGAGGCTCTGCAGCCCTCTGTCTGCTTGCAGGGCAGGAAGGGGCTGGGAGCAAGGCTGTGGGCTCTTCCCTCCACAGTGGCTGGCGGGGGGCGGGGGGGGGGGGGGGCTTGGACCCTCCTTAGAGTCCTCTGGACCCTCAGCTCTGCCCCGTCCTCACCTCACTTCTGCTCTCTAACCCCCTGTGGCCACTGCTGCCCCCCACCCCCAGCCCCCTGAGGATGCCCGAAGCCCCTTCCGCTGCCGGCTGTTCTCCCTGGAAGGGGGGCAAAGCCTGGTGATGCGCGGAGGCTGGCTTCTGGGCCTGAATGGTGTCCTCACTGTGCAAGACCACGGCAAGAGATGGGGTTACAGTGGGGTCTCTGTGCCCACCCTGGGCACAGGCCCTGGGGACGCCCTTCCGGAGAGGGTGCATCAGATCATAAAACCCAGCAGCCACCACTGTTCTGTGCTTTGCTGCCTCCCTTCCTGGCAATTCCATGAGGCAAGCGCCATTGTCACACCCCCCCCTTTTTTTTTTACAGATGGGTAAACTGAGGCACAGAGAGGCGGGATCACTTGTCCAAGGTCCCCCAGTTAACAAAAGGCAAAGCTGCTTTTGTTTTCATGTGTAAAAACTAGAGATTCTTTTTTTTTTTCTTAACACAAAATCACGATAATATCACATCTTGCGCATTAACGGTGATTTCTGAGTAAGTATCCACACAGCTAGGGTCACACACACAGCTATCAAGTGGCAAAGCCAGGATTCAGGCCCTTGTCCCTCCCGCTACCCCGCCTCTCTGTGCTGGTGGCCCAGGAACAGACATACCTGTCCCGACTCATCCCGCCCCCGGGATGCTTTAGCAATGGCTCTGGTCACCCCAAACCTCGTAGACGGGGAGATGGAAGGTGTGAGGTGGTTCTTACCTTGACATGTGTTCTCACTCTCATTCCTGAACGTTTTTGCCCCAGAAGCAAGCTGGTATCCGGGGCTGCATTCGCAGTGGTAGCTCCCTTCTGTGTTCTGGCAGTCTGCAAATTTTCCACAGGACACTGCCAAGGGTGGCCCACACTCATTGATGTCTGGAACACAACAGGACAAAGGGTCACCTCCCAAACGCATGAGTTCCTGTGGGGAAGAGATCCCTACCCCCGGCCTGACTCCCCAGCATGGGGCCCCACGCTTCATCAGTGTTTTTTAAGAAATGATTAGACTCTTGGGGCGCCTGGGTGGCGCAGTCGGTTAAGCGTCCGACTTCAGCCAGGTCACGATCTCGCGCTCCGTGAGTTCGAGCCCCGCGTCGGGCTCTGGGCTGGTAGCTCGGAGCCTGGAGCCTGTTTCCAATTCTGTGTCTCCCTCTCTCTCTCTGCCCCTCCCCCGTTCATGCTCTGTCTCTCTCTGTCCCAAAAATAAATAAAAACGTTGAAAAAAAATTAAAAAAAAAAATGATTAGACTCTTGAGCTCTACTGCAGAGGCTGGGCTGCAGCTGGAGCAAGCCGTTCCTGAAGCCTACGCATTCAGCTCTGCTCTTCTCTGCCTTCTGGCTGGCAGCCCAGATTTGAGCACAGCAGGGAGTGCTGAGATGTGGGGTGGGCGGCATCTCAGCATCTTCCTCCCAGTCCTGGAAGGGCAAACTGGAGCATAGACTCCAGGGGTCCTGGAGACCCAGCTCCTCTCTCTCCAGTTTGTTCACTTCTTATTTCCCACCTTTATATCTTTTCCCTTCTCTTTTCTGTGCCCTTGATAAGAGTCCTAAGGCCAAAGGCAGAGACCCCAACCGCCACTCACATCTCCCATGGGCACTGGGCTATGCCTCACCATCTCCATGCCCCACCCCCCCACCCCCCACCCCAGGCCCCTGTACCATCACAATTCTCCAAGCGGTTGGTGAAGATGTCCCCAGATAAAGAAGTGAACCCCGGAGAGCAGCGACAGGCCGTGGCGTTGACACATCTGGAGTTCAGGGGGCACCAGCGAGCACAGTCTGTGGGGATGGTGACCACAGTTGGAAGGTGAGGTCTGAGCCAGGTGCTGGGGAGTTGGCGGGGGGCGGGGCAGGATCATCTCCAAAGTTGGGGTTGCTGGGAGGGGCGGCCCTGGCCTTCCCCCTGCATCAGACCTCTCCTGCCTCGGCTGTGGGGGTCCAGGGCCCCCTCCCCAGGCTGTGGCTGTGGCTGTGGCTGACTTTGCCGCAGACTCACCACTGGTTTTCTGGGATTCAGCTTCGAACAGGGTCCGCAAGACACACAGCACTGGAACAGAGACAGAGGGTGTGTGTTGTTGGGGGGTTGCGGAGGGGAACCCAGAGCAAGGAAGGAATGATGGGGGCCTGAGGGTGACACATCTGAGGGCAGGGGGCTGCTGAGCGCTCCCAGGCTTGGGCTCTGTCCATCGCCTAATGAGAGAGCGGGCAGCCCTCCCTGGACTCCAACAACCACGGCCAGAGTGTCTGCGACCTGTCGTCTGGGGATGGGTTTCGGACAGGGTGGGGAAGGGACCCAGCTGCGGCAACAGTTCAGTTGGCGACAGGTGGCCTTGGTTCGAATCCCAGACATTGTTCCGGTTGCCTCACTTTTCGGTGCCTCAGTTTCCCCATCTGCAGAATGGGGATGTTAATTGGCAGCATTTCTTGGAGGCGTGTGAGAATCAGGCTCGTGGATACTGCCTGGTGTGTCCAAGTTTTACCATCGTTATTCCTTCCTATACCAGTGAAGGGGTTGGACCAGGTGTTCGAATCTCTGATGCTCCAGCCCCCACACCCTGGCTCAGGGACACAGGTGCACGCACACCACACCCACATCTGTCAGCCCAACGACCGGCTTGGGACCCAGTGGTGACATTTCACCCCAGGCTCCCTGCACACAGGAAGACGCTGTGGGCTCAGTGTGGGGGGTGGTGCTCGTCTCCCGCCGTTCCTGCTGTTCAGGGGGACCCTATTCCCACGGCATGTGTTTGGGGGTCCTCCTCAAGTCAACAGGGGCTCTAGAGACAGGGAGCTCCTTGTTCACCAGTGAGAGAGACAAGGAGATCGTGATGGAAGAGAAGGAGAGGGGGAGGGGGGAGAGACAGGGAGAAAGGGAACAGGACAGGTGGAGGGAGAGAATCAGGCAGAAGTTAAGGCTGTGCTAGAAAGAGATGGACAGAAATCAGGAGCTTCCGGAAAGAGAGAGACTGAGATGGCAGAGATTGGACAGAGAGACAGAAATGGAGAGATTGAGAGCAAGATAGGGAGACGGATACAACTAGAAAGGGGGGTGAATGGAAACGGGGAGGGAGGGAGGGCGGAGGGTGCTTCAGCAGCAGGTGGGGGCCTGGGAAGGGCTGGGGGAGACCTCCACTCCCTGCCAGGCTAGGAATGCTGGCGAAGCTGGGGAGACCCCGATTATCCAGGGAGACCCAAAGTGGGGTGGTGGGTGGGGGGATGGAGACGGGGAGGGAGGGAGGAAGGGAGGGCATGAGTCACTTCCTGGGCCGAGGGGAAGGGATGAGTCACATTGTGTTGCCCCTGGATGGGGCTCCTAGGGGAATTCTGGGGTCCGTCGTTGTGAGCACAGTTGGAAGGGCTGCAGCGGGTGCAGATGGGAAGGTGCCCTGACCCCTCAGTTCCTGTGTCCAGACTTGATACCCCTTAGGCCAAGTGGAGCCAGAGGACCCCCCCCCCCCCCCGCCTCAGGGCCCTCGAGTCAGAGTAAACTGAGGCTAGAATGCCCTTCCCCTCCCTCTAAGGAGGATTCCTTCCTCTCTTCCTCCTCCTCTCTGGCCACAGGGCTTGGCTAATTCCCCCCTCGGCCAGGACCCAGTTCCTCTTTGCAAGACAGACCACAAAATGACCCTCCCTGGCAGTATGGGCCGTGGCTGATCTGTTCCCAGTTCCCAAAGCCCCAAGTAGCCACTGTCATGCTCAGAAATGCCCTGGCAGGTTCCGGTTCCGTCCATTCTATAGATGGACAAACAAGGTTTGGAGCCCAGGAAAAGCTCAGGAAGAATCTGGTGGAAAAAGAGGGGCCAAGGAAGGTGGGATTGAGCTCAAGTTCCCAGACCCTGGCGTGGAGGGGTCCTTTGCACCCCAAAACCTCCACTGGGGCCTGGGCGGGGCTCCTCCCCAACCAGCAAGGCTGCTGGGCCAGGCCGGCTCCATCTGGGGCCTTGGAAGTCACCCAAACAGGAGCTGGGAGAGGAGCTGCTGGTCATCCCCTCTCTGTCCCATCTGGTTTGCATTGCAGGCAATTCTTGTTTCGGGACCCTGGGGTGGGGCCGGGGCAGTCACTCTCTTGCTCCTCCCGCTAAGGAAACCCCCCAGCCCGTACGTCTGACCCGCCAGTGTCCAACCCAGAAGAAAATAATAACAAATTAAAATAAAAACCTAAAGTACTGTTTGCTTAATTCTTAACTGTGAACTCCACTCCCTGCCAGGAATAGTTTGGGCACAAACTCACTCAGTCCTTAACTCTGTGAAGTGAAGACCAGACTCGCCCCATTTTCCTGATGTGGAAAGTGAGGCTCAGGGGCTCTGTGCGTGGCCCCAGTGACCCCCCCCCCCCCATCAGTTGTGTCCCACTTAGACTCCTGTCCCTTGCTCCGGAGGAGAGCAGGGGTAGGGGTGTTGGGGGAGGACCTGAGCTCACGCCTGGCACCCTGGGCCAGCACAGGGAACCCCCCCTGTCCCTGTGGCCCAGGGAAGCTCTGGTCTGGGCACCCCCAGTGTCATTTCTTCACTCTCTTTGTTGCCTGGTTGCTCAGGCAACGAGCTGCCGATAACCGTTAAAGCCACCCTGGGTGGGGCGGGAAGGGAGGCAGGGTGGGGGTGGGAGGAAGCTACAGTAAAATCAAGTTCAAACCCCTAGCGGGCAAAATTCCTTCAACTCACAGGGGAGTCCTGGCTGGGACTGGGGGAGCAAGAATGGGGTCTCTGGGGCTCCCCCTGTCACTGAGATAGTGGGGGACATGTTGGGAGTGCCCCCCCCGCCCCCGCATTAGAGGGGTCCTGGCTCCCAGGTCCCCAGCACTGCCCATGCCCTATATTAAAAGCAGTTGCCTACAGGGCGCCAGCACTTACTTTTTGCCCCTTCCTTTCCCCATGCCTCAGTTTTCCCTCTTAAGGAGCAGCCTCCAAAGTGTCTCTAGGACAGAGCTTAGAGATCCCTCTGAGTGGGAGTGGGGGGTCCCAGAGCACCTTGGGAGTCTCTGCCAGGGCAGGGGGGTGCCTGGGCACTGCCAGCCCCTCTCTCCATGTGCCCGCCTGGCCATGTGGCTTCTTCCTGTGCCGCGGGCCCCCCCCCCCACCCCCGCCCCAAGCTGCCAGCCACACCTTCCCTTTCTCCACGGTGAAGGGAGTGTCAAGGCTCCAAGGGGTGCTTTCCGCAGCCCCCTCGTCCCTCCCGGGGGGTCCCCAAATTCTCACCGTAAAGGAGGAAAAAGACGCTGTGGCCGGTGCCTCCCATGGTCTGAACCCGGGGCCGGGGGAAGCAGAGGATGGGCAGGGCAGGCTGGTGTCCCCAGGCTGGGCAGCTGCGTGGTGTCCCGGGGCTGGCCCAGCCTTTATTAAGGGGGGGGAGGACAGCCGCTGGCCCAGGGCCCTCCCCGGAACTGGCGGGGCAGCTGGAAGCCAACAGGAAAATGCAGTAAAAACACAGATCCAGGGGCGTAGCACGGGCTCTCTCTCTCTCTCTCTCTCTCTCTCTCTCACACACACACACACACACACACACACACAAAACCTGCCCGCAAATCCTCTGTCTGCTTTTCCACCATTTGAGCGGCTGACAAACTCTGGCCCCGTGTGTGTGCACTGGGCGTATCCAAGGGGAAAGTGGGGACGTGTGGGCAGGAGTGGGGAGGGAGTCTTGCCCAGGGCCCCCTGGCTTTTCGAAATAGCTTGGGGCTCCCGAGTTGGGCATGGCCCTGTGCTCACTGCCTTGCCATGCCCGGGTCCCCAGTGTCGCATCGAAGCCAACCATAACCCCCATCCCTGTTTTCCGGGTGAGGAAACAGGTCCAGAGAGTCCAGAGTCCCACGGGAGCTGGAGAGGCCCGAAGGGGCCCTTCATGGGTGCTAGGCCGGCACCAAGAAGAGAAACGGCAGAGCCTCCGGGCCTCCATGCTTCCAGAGCTGGCCTTTCTGGGCCAGCGCTTACCTTGGTGGGAAACTTGTATTTCAGGGGCTTCTGGGCAGCAACAGGGAATCACAAGATAGAAGAGTTGTTTTCTTTCCTAATAAGTCACATGACTGGCTTGTCTCTTGAGGCGTCTAATAATTTTTTAAAAACGCGATTATTGGGGCGCCTGGGTGGCGCAGTCGGTTAAGCGTCCGACTTCCGCTCAGGTCACGATCTCGCGGTCCTTGAGTTCGAGCCCCGCGTCGGGCTCCGGGCTGATGGCTCAGAGCCTGGAGCCTGTTTCCGATTCTGTGTCTCCCTCTCTCTCTGCCCCTCCCCCGTTCATGCTCTGTCTCTCTCTGTCCCAAAAATAATAAATAAACGTTAAAAATAAAATAAAATAAAATAAAATAAAAATAAAAACGCTATTATTTATAAAGTGCTTCTTCATCTCAGCCAGGCCTGATTCTCCTAGAATTATCTATGCATCTGTTTGAGTTCATTCACTTTGCAAAGCACCTGCAAGGCAGGCGGGACTATGATTCCTAATTTACGGAGGGGGAGACTGAGGCACGGGTAAAAAGGGGCTGAGCAGAGACGCATATGCGGGCAGCCTAGTCCCTCCAGTCCCTGCCAGAGGTCCAGAAGAAAGTCTCTACTGGGTGCTAATTTGTCTTTAACACCTGGCGCCCCTGGGGCCCTGGGGTTGGGGGGGGCGGGGTGGGGGAGGGGGCAGTATCCACCCGGAGGCCAACCAAAGGGTTTTGCAACTAGGATGTCAATCTAAAGTTTCCTTTTTAATGTTTCTTTTTTCTTTCCTTTTTTTTTTTTTTTTTTTTTTTAATGTTTCGTTTTGAGAGAGAGCGAGAGCAGGGGAGGGGCAGCAGAAGGGCAGGTCAGGGGACAGAGGATCCGAAGCAGGCTCTTTGCTGACAGCAGCTAGCCTGATGTGGGGTTCTAACTCACGAACCTGAGCCAAAGTCAGACGCTCAACGGACCCAACCACCCAGGCGCCCCTCAAGTTACCTTTTTAAATGAATGGTTTCAGGGCTGCAAAAGTGTCGAAGATTAAAGAAAATAGGAAGTGCAGGATAGGGCGAAAGGGAAGGATAGTTGGTCATGGGAAAAAAAAAAAGTCACCAATGGCTGAAAGCAGAGAAGCATTATCCCAGAGATGCTGGAGCACCTCCGCCCCGGGAGTTAACCCCTTCCGGCGCTCTCCCTCCCCTCCCCCGCTGTCCCTTTGTCTTGGGTCGGGCCTGGGAAGGCTTCTGCCGCAGGCACCCAAGGGGCTTGGAGGCAGAAGAGGACCTGGCTGGAGGCTGGGAGGGGAGGGGGCCAGACCAGGTCTGGAGTGGGTTTGGGGCTTTTTCCCAGAATCTGGAAACCAGCCTCAGGGCTGGACATCACCTCCCCACAGGCCTGCAGGCCAGACAGCTGGGTATCTGGAGAAGCTGGGGTTTGGGGGTTCCTGCCTGGGGGAGGCGGCAGGTATTGTCCCCACACCCATCCTCGTCCTCGGGGACCATCTATTCTTTGGGCTTTTCCTCCCTCGTATGTGTCTTGGGACCTTGGAGCAGGTCTGACCTCCCTGGGACTCCGTTTTTTTTTGTCTGGTGAATGGGATTAAAATGCCTGCCAACTGGCCTCACAGAACAGGGTAACAGGAGAAAAGGCTTCAAGATATTGGCTGCAAGCTTGGGAAGTCATGAAGGAGGACATCCTTACCGCCACCGCCACCACAATCTGGCCCGTCAGCAAATCCTGTGGCCCTGCCTTCAGATAGACCCAGAATCTTCCTACCTCTCCTTCTCATTGGCCCCCACCCTCGTCTAGGCCCATCATCTCTGGCCTTGGTGTCCTGGCTCCTGCCTACACTCAGTTCCCCCTCACAGTGGCCCGAAGCTACCTGGGAATGCCCGAGTCAGGTCACATCCCTCCTCTGCTCAAGAACCCTTCGTAGCTCCCACGTCACTGGTAAAACCCCAAGTCCTCCTGCACGATCTGCCCTGTCACCTCTCTACCCTCACCTCCTCCTGCTCTAACCTTGCTCACTTGCTGCAGCCTTCCTTATGGAAAACACCGGGCACAGTCTGACCTCAGGGCCTTTGCACAGACTGTTGCTGCAGCCTGGAGCATTCTTACCCTAGATGACCTCAAGGCTCCCTCCCTCCTCCCCTCCATGTTTTTGCTCAATTTCCTGACCCAGCCCTCAAGTCCAAATGTAACCCCTACCGTCCTCAGCACCCCACCTCCTCCCTGTTTTCTCGATTCTCACCAACTCCCATCATGGAATATACCTACTTACCTTATTTACTGTCTGGGCCCCACTAGACTCTCTGCTCAGGGGTCAGGACTTTGGTCTGTTTGTGTCTCTGCAGTGCTGGCACAGGGCCTGCACCCCATAGACTTAGTAACACCCCACACAGGCCGCTGTCACTGCCCCCCACTGACGGAGAACCCCTTCGGGCTTCCTGATCTGGCCCCTGCTGGGGCGTCAAGTTGTTTCTCCCCCTTCCCTCTGCCCTGAGGCTCCAGCCCCGCTGACCTATTTGGCAGACCCCCGGACAATCTTGTGACCTCTGTTCCACAACAGGGAGGCAGGGACGTGGGTCCCTATTTGTCAGATGGGGAACTGGCCCCTGGACAGTTGGGCCACCGGCACGAGATTCCTCAGCTAGGAGGTGGCCGAGCCAGGATTATTCAACCAATAATAATAATAATAATACTCTTTATATTGTATTGTACCGTTTTGTGGTCTATATATATTTTTTATTATTATAGCTACAACAGTAACAAATCGTGGTGGAAGATGGCACTCATCCAGCGCCTACTGTATACCTGGCCCACTCCTAAGCGTGCTACAGGGATTGAACTCACTTTTCTTCCCAATAGCCCTAGAAGGCAGGTGCTGTGATTTCCATTTGACAGATAGGGTAACTGAGGCACGGAGCGGTGAACTGACTTGCACAGTCCACAGGGCACCCCCATCTCATATCAGAGGTCCTGGACAAACCCGATCTCTTCCTCTTTTGGATCGTGTGGTCTTGGGGAGGTGATGTCCCTGGGCCTCAGTTTCCTCGTCTGTGAAACGGTCGGAACCTGGCCCAAGCGCAGGTGAGGGTCATAAAAGAGAGGGTCATAATCGCAGGGGCGTAGCTGGGAGTGGACGCTCCATGAACAACGGCTGTGGCTGTTAGCGCTCCCCCTTCTCTTCGCTGCGGTGGGGAGGGAGACAAGCGTCCCCAGTGTCCTGCCTCCGGGTTTCTTGTGCTACCTGCCTATGCCCAGCACCCACGCAAGCTCAAGCTCATGCTGAGGTAGGGGGTCAGATGGGGTCTCTGGGTGGAGGGGGGCTGACAGGAAGCCCCCTGCCTGGGAGACAATGGCAGAGGAAGGGGCCGGGCCAGCCCCCACGCGGATGAGCCCGGCTGCTGGCTCCGGCAGGGCGGCACAGCTATTGTGAGGCCAGACAGCTGTCCCAGAGCCAGGAAGCCAGGGAAGAAAGTGGGAGGCCACCGGCCGACCCTGACCCCCCAAACCAGGGCAGGCCCGACAATGGGCCCTTTGTCTCCTCCTGCAGGCTGGACACCTGGATTCGCCAGGGCCGGGACCCCCAGCATCCACCTGCCTAGGGGCTCCCGGTGCAGAGCCCGGCCCAGCCCAGCCTGGGGAGTTAGGAGGCAGCGCTAAGTTGGGCCATATTTATAGTTCCCTGGCACCGCTGAGCAAACTTCTAAATATAGACGCCAAGCTATTTGGGGCCTCAGCCCTGGGGCGGAGTGGGAGTGAAGGCCACCACTGCACGTGTGCCTCCCTGGCCTGGGCCCCCCGAGACTCCCTGGGCCTCTGTCTCCTGGGGCTGAGGCTGTGGGCGGTCTTGGGGGGGGAGCAGTTTGTCCGCTTGGATGGGGGTACACAGAGAGAGACGCGATGGAGTTGCCCACGGCCACAGCCACAGCCCAGGGCGACAAGAGGCTGGGACGCCTGCAAACGGCGGGCACGCATGCGTTCCAGGCCCAGGAAGAGGGCACGCGTCTGTGCCCGCTGTCCCCAGCGCCCCGTTCTCCCACCTCTTCCACCCCAAGACCCACTGGGGTAAGGCAGGTGGGTGTAGCTGTCACTTCAGTGTTCTTGGCTCTTCTAGGAAACAAAGGCCCCCAGGAAATGGCACAGGCACCCATAAGCCGCAAACAGACTTCAGCTCGTAACCCATTTCCCCTTCCCCATCGGTCTGACTTCACTGGTGGCCTGGGGGGGGGGCCGTGACGGGGCGGGGGGGGGGGTGGAGCTATAAATAGCCGGTTTATAAGCAGCTGCCGAGCTAGCCAGGCAGGAGGTGGCCCTGGAACCCAGGGAGCTTCTCAGGGGCACAGCTGAACCCCAAAGCGTCCCCAGCTTCACGCCTTCCCAGCAGTCGCCAAGGTTTAGGGAAGTGAGGGGGACGTGAGAGACAAGCTGCTTAAAGC